GGGACGCCCGCCGCTGCCGGGTCGGCCTCTGCGGTGAGACCCCGGCAGACCCGCCTCGCTGCTGGGACAGGGGCCTGCTCCCGCCTGCCGGCCCGTCTGCGACTCAGCGTGCACAGGCAGGTGGGTGTGAGCACGTGTGTGCATGTGTGTGCACATGTGCACATGTGTGTACAGGTATGTGCACGTGTGGGCACATGTGTGCGTGTGTGCAGGCGTGTGCACGTGCGCGCGTGTGTGCAGGTGTGATGTGTGTGCACATGTGTGCACATGTGTGTGTGCGTGTGCAGGTGTGATGTGTGTGCACATGTGTGATGTGTGTGCATGTGTGCAGGCGTGTGCGCGTGTGTGTGCAGGTGTGATGTGTGTGCACATGTGTGTGCGTGTGTGCAGGCGTGTGCGCATGTGTGTGCAGGTGTGATGTGTGTGCGCGTGTGTGCAGGTGTGATGTGTGTGCACATGTGTGATGTGTGTGCGTGTGTGCAGGCGTGTGCACGTGTGTGCATGTGTGTACATGTATGTGCGTGCATGTGTGTGCGTGTGTGCAGGCGTGTGCATGTGCGCGTGTGTGCAGGTGTGATGTGTGTGCACGTGTGTGCACATGTGTGTGTGCGTGTGCAGGTGTGATGTGTGTGCGTGTGTGTGCGTGTACTCAGCATGTCTCAGCAATCCCAGGACCCTAAACAGGAAGAGCGTATAGCCGGGGGCGAGCTGTGCGTGGAAACGTTCTTCCCAACTGATTTGTTTCTCCCTGCTCTTTCAGTATGAAAGCGTGCAGGCATCATCATTTTAAAAGCAAAGGACAGGGCCGGGCGCGGCGGCTCACGCCTGTCATCCTAGCACACTGGGAGGCCGAGGCTGGAGGATCACTCGAGGTCAGGAGTTCGAGACCAGCCTGAGCAAGAGCGAGACCCCGTCTCTACTATAAATAGAAAGAAATGAATCGGCCAACTAAAAACATATAGTGAAAAGATGAGCCGGGCGTGGTGGCGCATGCCTGTCGTCCCACCTACTCGGGA